CGCAGGGGCAGGAGGGGGAGGAGGAGGAGGGGCAGGAGGAGGAGGAGGAGGAGGAAGGAGGAGGCGACTCTCCCTCCTCTCTCCTCTCATTTGCTCTTTTCCCGCCGCCGCCGTCTTGGGATCCCGCGCTCATCTTGAAAAGCAGAGAAGATTGAATCGATGGTGCTTCGACGTCGAAATCGTTTACCTTGCTAAGCGATTACGCATCCCGATCAGGGAAGTGGCAGTGACCTGGACACAGAGATTCCTGGGTCCAATCCAAGGTACGTATCACTTCCATCATCGCCCACATGCTCCTCGAGCTGGTCCTGCTCCGACTCGCCTACGGATTTCGATTATGGAAAGTATACATACACTTGATTGATTGGAAAGTGTACAGTTGATTGATTGCAAGGTGTACACCCACCACTTGATTGATTGTGATGAGGAGATAATATAGCTCAGAGAGAGAGAGAGATCTGCCGCAGTTCATGGGGGCATTTTCCTTTTGCAGATCTTTTTCCCCCCCCCTCCCCCTCCCCCTTACATTGTGCCTCAGAAAAGCAGAACACGACAGAACGGACAAAGGAGCCTCCGGTCATTTGCTCCCCTCCGACCCCATCGGTGCGCCCCCCCCCCCCTCTCCCCACGGTCTCCCCCTCTGCCAAAAAAAGCAGTACTAGCCCTCGTCTCTCTCTCTCTCTCTCTCTTGTTCACGTTTTATTGCTTTCTCCTCTCTCGTTCCCCCTCTTTTCTCTATCTGTTCTCATTTTGCGTTTCAACCCCTTTCGCGTGTATGCTGGCCTCCCCCTCTCCCCCCCCCCTCTTCCCCCTTTCCTGGAATATCCGTTTTGCTGTCCCTGGCGCGCTTTGAGCTGAGCTGAGCTGAGTGAATGAGAGAGGTTGCGTAGAAAGAGTCCAATTAGCGAAAGAACGAATCCGATGACGTCGTACAGAAAGAAATCTCGTCCGTAAATTTTCCCTGTTTACCACACGGATCTTGATGTTGTTGTTTACTCTCCTCTGTGTCTGTCTTTCTGTCTATCTCTCGGTCGCTCGGTCGCTCTTTCTCTCGCTCTCGGTGTGACGTTTTATTTGACGATTATATTGATCAGTGGGTCAGATTATTGAGCATCTGGCTGGAATCAATTGAAGGGTAGATGGATGGGAGTGGCTGATTGTTTGATAGATGGAGGTCAATCAATGTTAGATCGGCTAGTGAAGTCGTCGACCTGTCAAATTCGTGCAATGATAGGCTGATCAGTTTGTCGGTGCTTCATCCGTCAAAAAATAAATAAAAAAAATAGAGAACAAACAATTACTGAAATGAAAAATTTGACACATGCCCCTGAAAGAGGCTATAGTTTCGTCCGATGTGCCTCAAAAAACTGTGCATTCGCGGCATGCCCTTCTCACCCTTGAAGATTGCCGCATGCCCCTGTTAGATTTGTTTAACCTACACGCCCTAGGGGAGCATGCCCTTCTCACCCCCTTGAAATTTAGGGAGCATGCCCTTCTCACCCCCTTGAAATTTAGGGAGCATGCCCTTCTCACCCCCTTGAAATTTAGGGAGCATGCCCTTCTCACCCCCTTGAAGTTTGCCTTAGGCGCTCCACGGGGGCATGCCCTTCTCGCCCTTGAAGTTTGCCGCACACCCCTGTTAGCGATGTTGAACTCCGCGCCACGGGACTGGATGTTGAAAAGATGAACGTACACCCAGTAGGGGTATATGCAAAAGATGCTGGGTCCCATGGACATAACGGGTATTGGGCAAATTTGGACTGCTGTCAAAAGGACACTCAACAAGTAACAAATTTCTTATGGGCGTCTGTCAAAATACCACATCTTCCAGGGGGATCCAACAATCAACCCCTTTGAGACAACAAAACAAGCACCATACTTCATGCCATGGTACGGGCCGTTGAAAAGATCTACCCTTGCCCAGGAGAGGAATATGCAAAAGATGCTGGGTTCCATTGACACAATGGATAGTGGAAAAATCGGGACCGCTGTCCAAAGGGCACTCGCCAAAGAACCAATGTGTTAGGGGCATCCGTCAAAATACTGCACCTTTCTAGGGGCATCCATCAAAATACTGCACCTTCTAGAGGCATCCAACAATTAACCCCTTCTCAAAAACATTGCGACAAGAAAACGAAACTGTCATTGAGAAGATGAACTCGCGCCCAGTAGAGGCATATGCAAAAGATGCTGGGTCGCATTGACATAATGGATATTGGGGAAATTGGGACAGTTGTCAAAAGGGCACTCGGTAAATAACTAATCTGCTAGGGGCATACTGCACCTTTTAGGGGCATCCAGCAATTGACCTTTTCTCAAAAACCTCGCGACAAGAAATTGTGTCTGGCCGTTGAAAATATGAAATCACGCCTAGTAGGGGCATGTACAAAAGATGTTGGGTCCGATTAACATAATTGATATTGGGCAAATTGGGACCACTTATGGGAGGACACTCAACCATTAACACATCTGTTAGGCGCATCCGTTAAAATATCGCATCTTCTTGGGACATCTAACTTGCGAGCGCCTGCGAAGCACAATTAACACCTTGTCAAAAATGTTGCGACAAGAAAACAAAATCAATACTTCGCGCCACGGAACTAGTCATTGAAAAGATGAACCAGCCCCTGTAGGGGCATATAGAAAATATGTCGGGTCCCGTTGACATATATTAGGCAAATTGGGACCGCTGTCAGAAGAACACTCGGCAAGTAACAAATTTCTTATGGGCATCTGTCAAAATACCACATCTTCCAAGAGCATCTAACAATTAACACCATGTTAAAAACATTACAACAAGAAAACAAAAATGATACTTGGCATCATGGGGCTGGCCATTGAAAAGATAGAACCTGCGTTTAGTAGAGGTATATGCAAAAGATGTTGGGTCTCATTGACATAATGGATATTGAACAAATTGTGGCCATTGTCAAAAGGACACTCGACAAATAGCAAATATGTTAGAGGCATCTGTCAAAATACCACATCTTCTAGGGGAATACAACAATTAACCCTTGTTAAAAACATTACAAGAAGAAAACAAAAATAATATTTTGCCACGAGATTGGTCATTGAAAAGATGAACCCGCACCCAATAGGGACACATGCAAAACATAATGAGTCTCATTGACCTGATGGTTATTTGGCAAATTAGGACCGTTAGCAGCAGGGTACTTGATAAATAACAATCTAATAGGAGCATCATTCAAAATATCGCACCTTCTTGTTAAAAACATTACAAGAAGAAAACAAAAACAATACTTTGCCACGAGACCGGTCATTGAAAAGATGAACCTGCACCCAATAGGGATACATGCAAAACATAATGAGTCTCATTGATCTGATAGTTATTTGGCAAATCAAAACCGTTGGCAGTAGGGTACTTGATAAATAACAAATCTAATAGGGGCATTATCCAAAATATCGCACCTTCTAGGGGTATCCAACAATCAACCTTTTGTCTAAAACATAAAAAAAACTAGGTTACCAGTCGTCCGCTGGCCGGATGTCTCCCCCAACCGTCCGGTAGGGGGTTTGTTCGGAATCCCGGACAACCACTTTTTGGCATTAAAAAAAATAAAAAAATAAAAATAAAATTATGACAGTTGCGCATGCCATAGAGACCCCCCATAAAAAAATTCAGAATTTTCTGAGCATTTGGTGATAGGGTGCTATTTGGGGTGGGAGGGGGGGGTACGAGGGGTTTTGGTGGGGATAGGAGGGGTATAGGTGGGGATTAGAAACTTTGAAGATTTTTATCTTTTTTTCTACTGGCTCAAATGAGCTAAAATTTTGGTGGCATAGCCACATTATTTTTTTCAATTTTTTTTTTTTTTTTTTTTCTTTTGCGCTAGGTCGGACAACCCTTGTCCGGTCCGAGACCGTCCGACGTCCGGTCGGACAACCCAGGGGTCCCGGACGTCGGGTAAAACAACCTAGCAAAAAAATAAAATAAAACTAATATTTCTCGCCATATAATAAATAATTGAAAGTTGAACACCTTTTCAGCAAAGGCATATACTATCATTTTAGTAACGGAATGCAACATTTATCATGTAATTTAGAATATTTCTACTAAAAACTAGGCTACCAGTCGGGCCGCCCGGGTCCCGGGTGGCGAGCCCGTGCAAGGAGGTTCCATCAAAAAAACAAAACAAAAACAAATCCAAAAAATCCGAAAACAAACTGTGTTATGCAGGAAAATAAACTGAACAACTTTTGCCTCAGGGTCACATCGAAATTCTTCACCAAAATAAAATTAAAAATTAAAAAAAAAAATTAAAAAAAAAAATATATATTTTTATTTTTTTGGCCCAGCCGGGCAAGTGACCCCGGACCACTCTGGTAGCCTAGACTAAAAACCTGAACTTCTACAATTACTATGTTATTTTTTTTGCAATTTTTATAGTTACGTTGAATACTATTTTAAGATTTTCTTTGTCATATAAAAGATATAAACGAATGAGAACTACTAATACAAAAAAATTCGCATCTTTAACGTATTACTGTTATTCTTTTAATTTCAACTATACTTTTAGCAAATGTTTCACTTTCATTTCTTATAACATTTTTATCCTTCATGGTATTCCGCTTTCAATCCAAGACAAAGTCAACGGGTCCACTTGTCATTTTTTCAGACACATACAATGGTTACAAAATGGACGATGGTGAGTATAGTCTGCACTTAGCAGACACTTAGATCTTTCCTCAATTCAATTAATTAAATTGCATCACATGTAGGCTTCTGGTGTAAATAAAAGTACTACATATCACCTACAATCCACCATTTGGTGGACTTCATCAGTATTACGTAAAAACTGTTTTGTTACGAGATGTTGTTTTGCCTCCTGTCCCTAATTGATTGGGTAATATGTTTATTTCAATTCAATAATATATATTATTATAAAATAAATATTATATATGATATGATTTTTATTAAATAAATCATATAGAATTAATAATCATTCCATAATAAAAATCATATCATATATATATTTTTATTCTATAATAATATTATTGAATTGAAATAGACATATTACCCAATTAATTGGGGACATGTGGCGAACCGACATCTCGTAACAACACAACCTTTATGTAATACCGATGAAGTTCACCAAATGGTGGATCGTAGGTGATATGTGGTACTTTTATTTACAACAGAAGCCTACATGTGATGTAATTCAATTAATCGAATGGGAGAAGGATCTAAGTGTTTGCTAAGTGCAGACTATATTCAACATCGTTCATTTCGTGACCATTGTATGTGTCTGAAAAAATGACAAGTGGACC